AGTTACAGCTGGAGAGTTACTCCCTCTGCACCCCTGGGGTATCCTTGTGGTACAGCCTGACTGTGGGCACCCATGCAGCCAGCTTGGCCGCGTACCATTCTCTCTCAGAATGTCCACAGTACAGAGGCTCCCCATTCCTGTCCTTATTTACCTAAGAGTTGGCCCCTGCACATAACAACCAGCCCTCTAAAAAAGAAAACATAATTGCTCTCAAGGTTGCCTGAGAGTCAATGGTCTAATCTACAAGTAGAACTTGCTGACATGGCTGCCATAACAATTTAACACACCAGGAGCCAGGAGAGATCTTTGTGTAGACGATCAGAATGTAAACACAGGTATAATAGAAAAAAATGGTGAAAAAATTTTAAATTACAGCAAAAGTTCACATTGCCAATAATGCCCCTCAAAATCTGTACTGCTTGCTTTGAACACTTATCCCATCATTCTTGCCACTTTCAGAAGCATTTCTGGAAGTTCACTTTTGTGTCTCTAGTTTGCACTGTCACAGCTGCTTCTATGTCCTGAACCAGTTCAAAACATTTACCTTTCGTGGTTATTTTGACTTTGGGAAAGATCCAGACCGGGTGAATAAGGTGAATGAAAAGACACTGTAATGTTTTTAGGAGTCAGCCAGCTGCAGCATTCACTATGTTTTTTTTATCATATCTCATAACGACAGTCACAAAGAGGACTTCCAGAGCTGCTTCAGAAAGTGTCAAGAACAACAGTGTAAGGGTGTTGCAGCAAGGCGGAGTAAGTTGAGGGAGATTAATGGCAATGTGTCTTTTACCGTAAAATAAATAAATAAACGCGCGCGTGCGCGTGCGCGCGCGCACACACACACACACACACACACTTTTGTACCAGGGATTGAACTCAGGTCCTTGTGCTTGCAAGGGAGGCAGCGGAGCCACTAAGCTAAATCCCCAGCCCATTACCATAATAAATTTTATCTAAACACTTTTTTTTAAATCAATCTGTGCATATCTGAATACTGAAATGTTAATCTAAATACTAACAATATTAACTTCTCCCAAAATCAGGAGTGTTTTCTCTTGTTGGTCTTAATTCATTCCAAGTTTAAAACTTGAGAATTTTTAAAGCATACCTTATTAAGTTTATAAACTGGATTCTTTCAGTGAATCTATTTATGGTTTATATCTAGACGTCCCCCCCAGAGCCTCATGCACTTATAGGTGGGACTTTTGGGAGGTGACTGGATCATGGGTTGTGATTGTGATCAGTGGATTAGTTCACTGAGGAATTTAGTTAAATATGATGCAGGGAGATGGAGTCTGGTAGGAAAAAGTCGGTGTCCAGGGACATAGCCGAGAAGGGTGTATCCTTTCCCAGTTCATTCACTCTGCTTCCCTGCTTCCAGGACAGGACAGGACAGGACAGGACAGGTGCAGCTGTCCAGTGCCCAACCCTGTCTGCCTTACCATCCTGCCCTGGAGCCGGCTGACCATGCAGGATTGAAACTTCTAATACATGAGCCCAAATAAATCTCTCCTCCTTTAAGATGTGTCAGTTATTGCATCCCAGTGATGAGGAAAGGGACTAAGACAGACCCATATAATTTTTTTCACATAAAATTAACCAAAGCCTATTTAGTATTTCAAAACCCTTATTTATATTTATACTCTCAAGATTCTTCTTTGGTTAAAATGCAAGATACTAAAAGAAAAACCAGAGTAGGCTGTTCAGTGACTAGAACAGTTTATATATAATTCCTCTTTGTCTGATATTAGTAGAGTAAGTGCTTTCCCAACTACCATTTCCAGGTAGCAAGTCCAGTGGTCTCACAAACTGCCTCAGCTAGGGAGTTGTTATTTCTTAATGGAAATTTTTTTTCTCACTATAGACAGTGCTAACTAAAAGTCAGTGGCCCAGAGCATGATATAGGTACATATACACTCAAATCTGTATTTGGATTCTGCCACAGTTTGGATCTTGCATGTTCCCAAAAGGGCCACATGTAAGAAGCTTAAGTCTTTTGGCCCATGTCACTGCTAGAAGGTGATGGAACCTTTGAGAAATGGGGCCTGTGGGAAGGAAGTCAGTTACTGAGGGGATACTTGGACCCTGCTTCTTTCTTGTCTCTCACTTCCAAACCACCACGAGGTGAAGAGGCTTCCTGAACTGACACATGCAACCCCCAACCTCAAGAACACTGAGGCCAACTGACCACAGACTCAAACCTCTGAAACCGTAAGTCAGAATAAAACTATCTTCCTTATAAGTTGCTTATCTCAGGTATTTTGTTACTTAACAGAATGCTAATGCAAGTTCAGTTAATGAAATAGAATAGTAGAAAAATTTTAAAGTGTAAAAATAATTGCATTTAGGAACAAAGTGTTTTTACTAGAGTTAAAAATCAGTGCTGTCAGTAACTTCAGAGTAAAAGATCATTTCCTTCTGTTTTAACATTCTGAACTTAAGACAGACATTTCAGTCAGGTGTGGGGATGATGCACACCTGTAGTCTCAGCTACTTGGGAGGCTGAGGCAGGATCACTCTGAGCCCAGGACTTCTGGGCAACATAGATCCCTGTTTTTTAAGGGGGAAAAAAGAAAACTGACATTTCATTAGTCTTTATTCTATCAAAGTTTTATGTTTTCATTTAGGCATAAAATACAAAAAGAAAATTACAACTTTGTTGAGCATTAAATGGAATGCAGCTTTGGAAACTAAAACACTGTTAGGAATCTTTCTAGACATTTTTTTTGCTATAAGGTTTCAAGAAGCCAAATAGTATTCCTATAGTAAGGACATAAAGTTATTATACTCTGTATACCTCACATCCTTCTAGGATTCAAAAACTAACCAAAGAGCTGGGCGTGGTGGTGCATGCCTGTAATTCCAGCACTTGGGAGGCTGAGGAAGGAGGATCACTGTGAGTTCGAGACCAGCCTGAGCTACATAGTGAGTTCCAGGTCAGTCTCAACTACCTATAGTGAGACCCTGTCTCAAAAAACAAAACAAAACAACAACAAAAAAACCAAAGGCAGAAGACTCTAGATCAAGTCTCCAGCAAGCTGTTCTCCAAGGACATTAGTCAACATTTGACATTTTAAAATCAGTGCCAGTTTTTAAACAGCAAATGCTACTAATTTTAGCTCAACTTTTACACAAAGTTTTTTTCACATTTGTATCTGTCATTTCCTGGAGGATACAACTTGCAATCTTTTCCAGTTCACAGATAAATTCACATACACAGTCACAAATCCATAATTCTCAGGGGTTCCTGACCTTCCTCTTCTACTCTCAGTTAATCTGCATCCTTCACATCAGCACTCTGCTTCAGTTTACACACTTTCCTGCCACTGCTCCAGCAAATGCTTATGTTGCACCTATTACATGTCCCTGAAGGTTCAATGGTCATAATACTAGTTTTTATTATTAAGCTCTTCCTTGTCACTGTTCTGTGAGGGTAGGTATTGTTCCCATTTTTACAAATGAGCTAATAATCTCAAAGTTGAAGTCATTTTTTTCAAGGTTATAGACCTTTTAAGGCAGGACTGAAAGCCAGGACTCCTTATGCCTAATCCTTTGTATGCTAGATTAACGAACTATTCTAAACTCTATGTAACATCATTTAGTTTTTTGTTCATACTCAGATATTTTTTCATGTTACTATCTTATGAAACAGAAACCATACTTTTATTTCTTCCTTTTTTTTAAGCACAAGGGCAATCTAATAGTGGCTGCTGCCAAAAACCAAAAAGCAACCCCTAATAGAGATTATTCATGCAAAATGCAAATATAACACATTAAAAGGACTTTCCCTAGTTTTTCAAGTAGGGCCAATACTCAAGCCACATGCAGCCTGGCTATACCAGATGTTACATATTTAAACAGTGCTGGAAAATGTCTCCTGAGCATCCTGAATGCATCCCTCACTCCAGTCCTGTCCCTCGAGTTCACAGCTCTCCACAGCTGGTGTCAGCAGGTGGCACAGCAGAGGGCCCTGCTCTTCGGCTGCTGTCCTAGCTTGTCAGTGCCTGTGTTTCATCAGTTCATAGATATTTCTGTGCATTTTGTTTCTGAATTTTCTTTAGTTCATAAGTATTTTTAATGATCCCTCTGCTTTCAGAGAAGATCCCGAGATGCATTCAGGCCATTATTGACTCTCTTAAGTATTTCTTGTATCAAGATTTGGCCTATTGTCACTGATATAATTAGAAGGGTACAGGGAAAAACCTTATATTAAAAATTTATTCACATCTCAGTGTGAAAAACTGAGATTTATTAGATCCTTTCCAATAATACAGTAGTTACCTGAAGGGTGGCTCTTCATGAAGAGATGCGGGGGACAGAGGGATGCAGAAGCACCTGAAGAAGTCAATCTCAAGAGCCTAGAACAAGGATGGCAAACCTTTTAGAGCTTTCAATGATAACAGCCCACTGTAGCACACGTGCCTTAGGTTCACCACCAGTGGCCTAGACAGAGGTGCTAAGAGAAAAGGCAGCATATTTAAGTTGCCTTTCGATTGCTCTGACCTGTGATGAAATCTGTATTTTTAATATTACCCTGAAACTAAGCCCTTTTCAACAAATATGAAGAACATAGTAAAAAATAAATTACATCTCACCATATTAGTAAGTGGACTGCCAAAACTCAGAAAGTTGATACCTTTTTTAAAAAGTTGATATGAATAAAACTAGTGTAATAACAATTAATGATCTGAAATAGAATGATTTCTCTGAAAAGAAGTAACATCATTGTACTTTTAGAAAAAGAAGCAGCAGAGGTATGCATTTGGAAATGATTATAACGTTGTAAAATTAACCCACAATGTAAGTACCAAAAGAAAGGAGTAAGTACACATGAATAAACTTTTATGCAACATGAATTTTTTTTGTAACATGAAATTTTTCCTGTTATGTTTAAGTTAGCAAAAATCCTTAGAGTTTGTACAAAATGATGTGTGCCCTAATTCCACCCACTAGCAGATAAAGATCATGAACTAAGAATGAGTCCTTCCTCATTTTACAGCTTTATTCTTGATTTTCCTCTAAAAAAGACCAAATTAGGTGTGGAGCTGACTATTCCTACAGAGCAAGCAGTCACAAAGTGCCATATTCATAATAATAGAAGCCAAAAGAAATATACAATTGTTTTAGCTTTCAACTGCTGATGTTACACATTGTCTTAATCATAACAGTGCATTCATGAACTGATTGTACTACCTCTGTAGAATTTTAGAAACAAGCACTTCTGAATTGGAATCTATAGGGATATCCTTTTACAAAGTAAAAGCAAGCATTTTTTTATTTACATTTTTTATTTCTGTCTTAGACAGAACTTCTGGAGGTCAAAGAAAATATGCCAAACTCAAAGAAAGCACTATAAAGTCTTGAAGAATCTTAAGTCAAGTGATATAATCTACAGTATTTTTAGGGGAGTATTATTCCCAACAACCATTAGATCTCTCTGTAACATTTATTTTTTTAAAAAGTCTCAATTTCTAAAACATTAATAATCCATTCTCTAAAATGAGGTGGAAAACTGATCAATAGGACACACAAGAATCATCATATTAACAAAGTAAATGGTTTTACTAAAAGATGTCACCAGTATTTCTATCAGTAGTAACTGTATGGAGGCCGCTGGTTATAACCATATTGTCCATATTGCTGTGGATAGTAAGGCTCTTGTCTGTGCTGTGGGTAATTGTTACCCCAGGATCGTCCATGCCACTGGTTTGATCGATTGTCACTTGGCCACCCTCGTCTGCTGTCCCTACCTCTAAACTGTCTGTTATCTTGCAACCTACAACAGCAAAACAAAATGGCTTTTAAACTTCTCATGTTAAATACACAAAACCAAAAACAACACATATGAGAACTCTTTCCCAGCACATTTGAATTCTCAATCTAACATAATCTAAAATGAGATTTTAAAACATTTTTCTACAGAGAATTTTATAGCAGCAGTTAGTCACAACTTTGCTAAGAATTCATTCATTCTTCCAGTATCATGCTGGATACAATTTATAAAGAAATAGGCAAATAACAACAAAACTCAAATACCAAAATTCTGGATCAAACTGAAATCTATTTAGATGTACAAAATCAGCACGATAATTTAATCCTTTGATTATTCTGAATGATTAAATGGGAGTAATTTCCATTTTATAAATTTCTGAAGGAAAATCGAAACAATACTTCATTCACTCACTCATTCATTCATTGTACTGGGAAATTGAACCCCAGGGCACTCTACCACTGCACTACATCCCCAGCTCTTTTAAAATTTTGCAACAGGGTCTAAGTTGCACAGGCAGGACTCAGAATTGCAGTCCTTCTACCTCAGCCTATCTCAGTGCTGGGATCACAGGCTTGCACCATCACACCCAGCAAAACAATACCTTTTCTGTAGAATTATGCACAAAGACTAGTTTTTAAAGCCTTAAGTGTAAAGAAAACATCAGTCTACAAAAATAACATTTAAAAAAAGTTTTAAAGAACAGCAAGGAAAAGAATGAATATATGGTGCTGACAAAATATTAAAGCAAGTATTTATCAGCATTTACTCTGAGCCAAGCACTGTTAGCAGGTAGCAGGTACACCATACTAAAAACACTGGTAGCTGCTTTCACTGGCTGGAATCAAGAAGGTTAAAGCTATCCTCTCCCACGTCACCAGGCACATTTATTCTCCTGAAGTAATACATACCGATTGCCTCTGTTTCTTTGGTTCCCACCAGCTCTGCTATTCCATTCCTCAATAACTGGAGGGGATTCAGGGGGGCGTTCCAAATATTCCTGGTATTCTTTATCATCTTTTGTGAATCTGTTTGCAAACATCTCTTCAAAATTTGGAGTGTTAGTAGTGTCAGTCATCCTGAAATTCTGTAGTTAAAAAAAAAACAAAGTTTCTATTAGAATTTTAAAAAATATTACCTTGCCATATAATGAAAAAGAAGTGAACAATTTTTGGCAGCATCATACACATTTAAACTTAAGAATTCAGTCTCCTCTCTCTCTCTCTCACCTCTCCCTCTCTCTCCTCTCTCTCTCCCTCTCTCTTTTTTGCAGTCTCATTAAGTTGCCCAGGCAACTTTGTGATCATCCTGCCTCCACCTCCCAAGCAGGTGGGATTACAGGCTTGCATCAACACATCTGGCCAACATCTCTTTATCACTAAATTCCAGGCATTGTGCTATTTAGGACTTTGCAATACAAACATCAACAATATTATCATATACCCTGGCCAAAAAGAGCCCTCAGTCTAGTAGAAAAGACAGATATGGATTAAACCCGAAGGAGAAGCCAGGCATACTAGTGCATGCCTGTAATCATAGAACTCAGGAAGCTGAGGCAAATGATTTTGGGTGAGACCAACCTGGACTTCCGTTGTAAAAAACCAAAACACAAATAGAGAAGCAGAAGATGCCAAGAAATGAGGCTGGAGAGATAAGTAGGGAACAATTGTGAAAATTTTTCTGTTCAATGCAAGCAATTTTTTTCCTGGTATCAATGTAGAGTTATAGGTAGCCAAAAAAGGAAGGTCTCAAGATCTAATCATCTGGATACTCTACCTTAGTGTGCCTTATCACATATCCTACTTCAAATTTGTCTGCGATTGGCAAACTAATATCAAGCGCTCAAATCTAAGAAATAAGTTTAAAATAAATTTAACTAATTAAAACCCATAGCCATTTGCATAGAAATCATATTGTTATTAGAAAAGATGAGCCATACCTAATTCAGATGGACAGCAAAATACTAAGGAATATGTGCTACTCTATGTTCTCTCAGAGGTTCCCTCTCCAACAAACACGTAAACAAACATCATTATTCATAAGATAGGATTTAAATAGAATTGGGATCGATACAAGCTTACCCCCAAAGATTTGAGGCAGTTAATATTTACATCTGTGCAAGGGGGAAAAACACTTGAAGGAAACCCTTTAAAGATGTAGGTCAGAAAAGCTGGGAACTTAAAGGCCTTAGTCAACGAAGACAGGATTAGAAGTGCTCTAAACCTGCTGTGATGGGGTCATACTTGTAATCCCAGGCTGAGGCAGGAGGATCATCAAGTTCCAGCCTAGCCTGACAACTTAATGAGACCCTGTCTCACTATAAAAAATAAAACTGCTGGGGATATAGTTCAGTGGTAGAGATGCTTGTCAAGCATGTGTGGGTCCCAGGGTTCAATCCCCAGCGCCTGGCCAACATTTCTTAACTACTAAATTCCAGCACTGTGCAAACTTGGAACCATCAATACAAACATGAACACTGCATCACGGACCCTAACGGTGCTCTAAAGACTTCCAACTCTAATATTCCCAAAAGGGAATTAACACTTTACACTACAGAGCTAGAAGAGGCTACAAAACGTGTCCTCTGGGCCTTCAAAACCAATACGGTAGTTTAAGCACTAACAGCTTCATGAGGTATATTCCCTTTTGCTGAAAACAAGGTTACGGCCTTTCAGATCTATATCCGAATAGGACTAATTTATTCGCACAAATAAACCATATAGTACTTTGGCTATGGGTGGCTCACCGTAGTAATGACTAACCAGGACGGGGTCTGGCTGCTCTCAAAAGCGATCCCACAGAACAGACCAATGGCAAACCTACGCCACGCGTGCGGCAGCGGAGTGTTTGTATCCTTGAAAGCTCTGAAAAGGTCCATCGCTGGAACAGACCAAGATACCTGAAGCCATGTGGGCTATTCAATCTAACCTAAAAGCACGTCACGGGTTGTTTGCCAAGGCTGGACAGATCTGCTTCTTCCCACAGCACCGTATCTGTCCAGACGCAGGGACCCTAGACGCCCTGCAGGCGTGGCTTCGGTCCCGCCAGAGTCCAGACTACAGCAAAGACCTCAGATACCCCGCGGGCCACACAGCTTAGCCTGTGCTGTTCCTCCTCCCCATCGCCTCGCACGGACGACTCACCGCCAGCGGCTGTGTCCGTACCGCGCCGGCGGAGATCCGCAGAGGGCCACCACACAGCCAAACTACGGATCCCTTGAGCTTTCCAAGGTAATGGAGCCTCTTCTTCGGAGTCCCACAACCACCTGACTTCCGCTTCCGGTGCTCAATCTCGCGATATCTGGCACTCAGTGTGGCTTCTTAAATTTCACTATGACGGTGTCTGCGAATTTTGGCGCGGAGCTCTGGATTCTCCGGCGGACTTGGAGTTCCTCGGGTGGGCGAGGCCGTCCCTCCTCTCTCATCCCTCCTGGTGGCGGGGCACCTGACTGGGAGATGGGACAGAAGGGAGGGAGAGCGCGAATGGCCGCCTACTCCGAGGGCGTGGGGAACCTTGAATCGCGGACGCGACCGGATTTCTGGAGCGAGGCCACACGATCAGGTCACTTCTTCCTGAGCGAGCCTCTAGTAAGAGTTCTGTGATCCGCTTTGTGCACCTTTTTACAGAAACACCACCTCCTCTTGACCCTTTCGTCTTGAATGTTCTGCAAATACGTAAACTCACTACCCAAATGTAGTATGGCCTTTTCCCTCCCAAATTGCTTCCCAGAATGTGCGCTATTTTTTGTCAGTACAGTTAACTTTTTCCCCCTCTCACAATTCTGTAGATGGAATACATGGCCTTTGCCCTGAGCTCTGTCCTCGGCCCTTTTGTTTTTTGAGGCTGGGTCTCTCTTAGTTGCTAAATTGCCCAACGTAGGCTCGAATTTGAGATCCTCCTGTTTCAGCCTCTCAGAGGAAGACAAGCAACAGGGTGAGGGACCCTACCCCAAACTGAGACCACCGTTGAGAAAAGTGTAGTTTCAAGTGCTTCGAAACATGCTGTGCACAGGACCAGTCAGATGTTCTTTTTCAGTTTGGTGTGGTATCTCACACCTGTAATTCCAGCACTCTGGAGGTTGAGGCAGGAGGATCACAGCGAGTTTGAGGCCAGCCTGGACTACCTACCTCAAGGCCAGTCTGAACTACACAGGAAGACCAAAAAAAAAAAAAGTTTTAAAAAGCTCCTTTTTAATCCTTCATTTGCAGATGGGTACAACTAATCAAAAGACATTGTTCTTCATCTTTCATCTACATATGCCAGGAAGCCAAGTGACCAGATAGCATAATTTGCACATGATATGAGGCCCAGTTAGTGTATGACAGGAAGGCTGTCCCAACAGCTCTTCTGCAGGAAAAGGGAGATAACTAGAGAAATTTGGATACAAAAGACCTCTTTCCCTTATCCTCAGGGCCTGCTGCAAGCCTTTTCATTGGCCCACTTTCACTGTGCAGAGCATATTTCTTTCCCACCTTTGATAAATGTAAACCTTCATTGGCTTTTCTTGTGTATCTTGTCCAATTGTTTTTGTTTGTTTGAGGGGGCGTTGGTACCGGGGATCAAACTCGGGACCTTGTACTTGCGAGGCAGGTGCCGTGGCACTGAGCTAAATCTCTGGCCCTTATCCAGTTATTTGTTCAGGGCAGCAAGAACTTGGAAAGAAGTCCCACAGGAGCTTCCATCCATTAACGACAGTGCTGGGATTACAGGCCTTTGCCAACATTCCAGACTAATACAAACTAACTTGGAAATTTTGATATATTACTGGATGCCTTTCCTTTCCGTGCTTCAGTCATTTGCCAAGTTCTGTGGACTCTACCCCTGTAGCAATTCGGCATTCCCCTATGGGCATCCCCCCATGCCACACACACACACACACACACACACACACACACACACTCTGCTGCTACCTAGCTGGAGTTCTCACTGTCATCCCTGAGCTGTGAAAATGCAGCGGTTTTCCCATTGGTGCCCTTTCTCAAACATCACTTCCCTACCAGCATATTTAACATATAACTGCTATAGATGTAGTCATATTGAAGCACAATTGTAATGCCAAATGTTCAGAGGTCCTGTTGCTTGAAGGCCAAATTTATTATTTAAATCTAAAATTCTATTTTCTGCTCTTCCCTTTTCTTTCTCCCTCTGCCTGTGGTAAATCAGTGGAGTACTTCATGCATGAACATCCATTATATTCCTTTAGATTGCCTATATACCTTTTCATTTTGGAACACACACACATCTCTACATGAATTCTCAAGTTTTGTAAGTGATATATATCCACGTAGAAATAAGTTTTTCTTATGAATGTCCATTATATTTTCTGAACTCTCTGCAGTCAGTTATTACCACTTTCTAAATTTAAGCTAAAATTATTTGCAAACAAGCTTTTCTTCCTATTACACTATAAACAGACCTTTGTCTCATTCATTTGTACATTTCAGAGTGTAAAACATTGTGCTTTGTGTAAAGTAAGTGCTTAGTAAAACTTTGTGGAATGAATGATGGAACTGTGACTAGTCCTGACCATGTTTTAGAAACATTAATCTGGCAAAAGTATAGAATAATGTGGATGTAGAGATATGATAGTATTGAGTAGTGAAGGTGAGAGGTATCATGGCCAAGGTTACAACAACTGAATAGTACTAGCCTTAGTAACTGAATAGATGATGGGGAAAAAAAAAGAATAGGAGGAAAGGAAGGCTCCAATTCTTGAGCCTGAGAGATTGGGACTGAAATGAGTATCTATATAGTAAATTAGTGTTACAGCAAAAATGAGCTCAGAGTTCAAATAGATTTGTAAAATTTTAGATGGTAGTGAAATATGCAAGAGAAAATTTATAGAGGTTTTTAGAAATACAGGGCTAAAGCCCAGGAAAGAGGCTGTCCCTAAATATGAAAATTGTGAGTGAGCCATAAAGAAAGATCAGAAGGCCAAGGACTGTACTTCAGGAAAAAACCATATTTAGGAAAGAATAGAAGATATAAAACTTGAAGAGGAGCCGGGCGTGGTGGCTCACACCTATAATCCCAGCACTCGGGAGGCTGAGGCAGGAGGATCGCTGTGAGTTCAAAACCAGCCTGAGCTACATAGTTCCAGGTCAGTCTCAACTACAAAGCGAGACCCTGTCTCAAAAAACAAACAAAACAAAACAAAACTTGAAGAGGAGCAATGTAACAGTTGGAAAGTGAAGAAAATGGTTTCTCCACCTTGTTTCAGAAGTCAGGGGAGATATTTAGAAAGAAGGAGGTTGCTGTAGGCCAGTTTGCTTTTCTTCTTGTATGTTAATTATAACTGACAAAATACCTGAGATAATAAACTCAAAAGGAAAAAAGTGTATTTGGGCTCACAGTTTCTGAGGTTTCCAGTCCACGGTCACTTGCCCCTGTTGCCAAGGACCTGAGGCAGTACAATATATCGTGGTGGGAGAGCATGACCAAGAGCACTGTTCCCTCATGGCAATGGGAAGCAAGAGAGGGAGATAGGAAGGAGCCAGGGTCCCAACATCCTCTTCGAGGGAATCCCTAGATGACCTAACTTCTGCCCACCAGGCCCCACTTCTCACAATAGCACTATAGGCCAGTTACCAAGTCATTAATACAGGGGCTTTTTAGGGAACAAGGGGACGTATCCAGACCACAGTATAGCACATTGTGACTATTATGGCACTGTTTATAAATAAAGATGACATATTTCTTTCCTTTAAATTTGTATATAACACTGAGGAGTTCCAAGGCCTCTGACAGTTTTTATGAACCATAGGTGTTCCAGGCAGTTTTTAAAATTTCAAGTGAAGCTCTAATGTTTTCTTATACACTGTCTTTTGTTGTTGTTGTTTCTTTTTTTGAGACAGGGTCTCACTATGTAGTTGAGACTGACCTGGAACTCACTATGGACCCCAGGCTAGTCTCAAACTCACAGCAATCCTCCTGCCTCAGCCTCCCGAGTGCTGGGATTACAGGTGTGCCCCAACACGCCTGGCTCTTATACTCTGATATCAATTATTATATCTAAATTTTGTGACATCAGGAAATAATCTGTTCCATGAAATAATTTTCTAGATAACTGACAGACTTTAAATATTAAAACTTTTCACTAAACCATCATTGATGGAAATGTATGTAAATTTAGTATTTCTCTGGCATAACTACAATATTTGGCCCATAATTTAATCTTTATTTAGCAACTGAAGCTTATTGTTGACGTGTCAGCTATTATGTTCTGCTAGATAGCACTATTCTTGAGCCTCTTCATATGTATGAAAAGCTGGCCTTTAATTTATTTATCTTTTCATATCAGTGATTGAACCCAGGGCCCTCACACTGACCTACATCCCCAGCCCTTTTTAAATTTGTGTAATTCTGAAACAGTCTCACTAAGTCACAAAATTTCCCAGGCTGGGCTTGGACTCAGTTTTCCTGCCTCGCCTTCTGGAGTGTTGCACCACCACACCCATCTAAAATTGCCTTTCAAGAGTTGAACTTTTTCGCTAGGGATGCAGCTAACTAATAAAATGTGCACTTAGCATGCACAAGGCCCTGAGTTTAATACTCATCACAAAAAAAGCTGATTTTTCTGTCTTTGTTATTATCTCTCCACATTAGGAATTAGTATCTCATTTCAACTTTCATCTTCCATCAACGTTAGAAATTGATCCTCCTAATGTGTCCGTAACTTTTTAATGACAAAAATTTATTTTGAAAACTTTGTTATGAGTGTTATGATTTTTGTCCACATCTAGCAGTCCTTAAAAGGCTAACATAAACTTCACTTAGCACAACACCTAAAATACAGTACCTTAGAATAGATATAAGAATTAGAAGATGATTGTCAAAATCAGAATTTGAAAACAATCTTTTCAAGGCAGTCCAAATTTTCCTAAATATAGATTAAATACATTCAAGTAATTCATCATTAAATGTGTCCTGTGCTCTCTATTGTATTACTTGAAGCATAAACCTTGGTCTTGTGCTACTTGAAGCATAAAAACTAGTTTAATAGCTTATTGTAAAAGTAACAATGAGGTATGTAATAATTACTGTATAAAAGAAATACACATTTATAAGTAGAATCTTATTTGGATCATTTTTTCATAAACTTAATGTTAAAGGAAAAGTCACTGAGAAAATCCATTATACTCCTCTTTCCTTAGCATTTAGCATTGAATGCATAGTTCCAACTATTGCTATATAATTACGGGGCAAGGTAGAAATGTGTAAAATAGAAACCAAAGTAAATTCTCATGCTGGTCGTCAAATGAAGGCTTTTTGCTTAACAAAAACAAA